ATTGTTGCTATTATACTTAGAATTTCTATGACTAATATTTTGTTAATTTTGTTCAGTAATGTTGTATTTGGTATTTCTATTGGTTTTAAGAAATTGCTAATGGATAATGGATTATTTGCTACGTTCGGAGCTGCTTGACTTGGTAAAGCCAATATTGGGGTTGATGTGCTTATTGTTGGGAATAAAGTTATCGGTACTGCTAAATCTGCATTATTATATATTATGTAACAATATCTAATCGGTTTCGTGTTTACTTGAAACAGTTCTTGAAGTTCTTGTATTTTCTGAGTTAGTACAGTTATAATTATAATTCTAATGATTATTTTCTAAATTAAGTTAAATTTCATTCTTTGAGTTTCGAAAAGATTCTACGCTGTTCAGTTGAGCTTTTCCTTTTTAAGTATTATTTCAGACTTTTCTATTTTGTTGTTTTCTTCAAACATATATGTTTATGTTTTAATATTATGTTATGGTTTCAAGAGGATGATCATAAATAGTCTTGATTGTAAATAGAAGTGGTTAATAGTGATTAATGTGAGCACTTCTATCTTTGTGTAAAAATGTTATAGTGTGGGTGCTTCTTTTAAAATAGAGTATTGAGGATATCTGTAGTCCTTGATTTTAGTCTTTTCCTTATACATTTCAATTCTAATCTTGTTCTAAGAATATTGTGTTATCCACAAGGTTTTAGTTTTTATTATTATTTTGATATAGCTTTCCTTTAAGCTCACGACTTCCTATTAGTTAACAGGGTATGCTATTGATCAAATTTATTCAATAGAATCTTCTTCAAGATATTTTATTTTACGAGTCTTGCGGTTGTATATATTTTTGACTTATTGTATAAGATAATACTTATGTCTTATTGTACTTGATACTTTTAATATATATAGACAATAATAGTTTCTCTTTAATAAAATGTTTTTTTATTATAAGATAATTTATTAATACAAAAGTGTTATTCATAATATATTTATTATATTAGAGCATTATCAATTTATGTTCCTAAGCTAGTGGTTTGTATTGCGATATTATACTTTAATTTAATAAAGGTGGAAGCAGATTTGAAGTTGGTCAACAACTTCCTCGAGTTAAATATTTATAGTAGTAATGGGTAATTATTGCAAAGGTAATATTTCTAATATTATCAAAGGCTAAATATTAAATTTGTTATAATATATTACAAAGTTTTATAGTAGAGTGAAAATAAAGTATTTAAATACATTTTCGAGTTATACAAAATTTGAATAGATTTATAAATTTTAATTATTCGATACTATTCTAATTTATTCTACTATTTTCTATGTTAATCGATAAATTGATAACTAATTAAGATTAATATGATTTCTTTCTGATTTTACAGATAAGTTCTGTTCTTTGGTAGTTTAATTAATTTTCACGAGTTTCGCATGTTGGTGTTGTTTTGGTATATGCAAAAATAGTTAATTGGTCAGGTTGATCGGGTGATCTGGAGCAGGTTCAGATCAACTGTAATACTTCAGTACCAATGGCTCCTTCCTGTTGGAAATCAGTGGTGCCACCATAGCATTAGTATTTCATGATAAGATTGTCAATTCGGGTATCGTAATTTCTTAGCTTCAGTCAAATAGTCGATTTTGGTAATTGATAACTACCTTTAAATTATCTGAACAAGCTAAAGTATCATTGAGCCCTTGGCGTTGAAAGTAAGAATTGCTTGTACAGGTAATTCGGCTATCCTATTGGTTCATCTTTGTTTGTCGCTCCTTAATTGTTGGTAGGTGTATTTCCTCTTTTGGGAATAATTCTTTTGGAAATTCTCTATTTATATCCAATTTGTGTGAATCATATGTCATAGAGAGTGTGATCCTTCTATATCAGGATTGATATTCATTCTCATAATATGATATTAATAATTCAAATAGTTTTTTCTTGTACAAGTGGATACTTGGTATAAAAAGTTTATATTGTACTTGTTTGTATAATAGATATTGGAATAGTCCTTGTTTATCAGTTTCTATATTCTAAATTGTCTTCTTTTCTTTATTATCTAATTTATATAGATATATTGGTATGACGATTCGGTTTGTTGTTGTTACTTCTT